ACATTGGGCTCCTGGCTCAGCCAGGAGCCTGTTTCTCCCTCTCCTGCTGCCCCTGCTGGTGTTTCCTCTCTCGCTGTCTCTCTGTGTCAAATAAAATAAATAAATAAAATAAACTAAGGAATGTGTCCTGTCTTTCTAGCTTTGAATTATGAATACATAATGCCTATGTTATACTGAAGAATGTTCAGAGTCTAATACGTTTTCCACCTGTGGGTAAGATATGAAAATCATATTGGAATTTAGTACTAAAATTACAATTACCATATGTTTAAAATGTCATTTGTTCTTTGTTCTTTGGTTGTGGTTTTGAGGGAAAAGGGGAGAAACCAAAGAAAAGTAAATTCGCCCCCTCCAAAAAATATTTAAAATTCAAAAAATCATTAATAGGCGTTTCCTGGAAGAAAGGGACATAGAACAATTTGTGTTTGAAAAAATGTTTATCCTCAGAACAAAAGGAGATGCAGACTTAAATAACATTTTTGGCTATCAGATTTGCAAGATTTTCCCTGCTAGTATTCTGTGGTAAGTGGACAAAAAAAATGGCATTCTCCGGCAGGGATGTCCACTATCACCACTGCTATTCAACATAGTATTAGAAGTCCTAGCCACAGCAATCAGACAACAAAAAGAAATCAAAGGCATCCAAATCGGCAAAGAGGAAGTCAAACTCTCACTCTTTGCAGATGATATGATATTTTATGTGGAAAACCCAAAAGACTCCACCCCAAAACTGCTTTAGAACTCATACAGGAATTCGGTGGCGTGGCAGGATATAAAATCAATGCACAGAAATCAGTGGCATTCGTATACACCAACAACAAGACGGAAGAGAGACAAATTAAGGAGTGAGTCGATTCCATTTACAATTGCACCCAAAACCATAAGAACCTAGGAATAAATCTAACCAAAGAGGCAAAGGATCTGTACTCCGAAAACTGTAAAATACTCATGAAAGAAATTGAGGAAGACACAAAGAAATGGAAAAACGTTCCATGCTCATGGATTGGGAGAACCAACATTGTGAAGATGTCAATGCTACCTAGAGCAATCTACACATTCAATGCAATCCCCATCAAAATACCATCCACTTTTTTCAAAGAAATGGAACAAAGAATCCTAAAATTTGTATGGAACCAGAAGAGACCCCGAATAGCCAGAGGAATGTGGAAAAGAAAAGCAAAGTTGGCAGCATCACAATTCCGGACTTCCAGCTCTATTACAAAGCTGTCATCATCAAGACAGTATGGTCCTGGCACAAAAACAGACACACAGATCAATGGAACAGAATAGAGAGCCCAGAAATGGACCCTCCACTCTAGGGTCAACTCACCTTTGACAAAGCAGGAAAGAATGTCCAATGGAAAAAAGACAGTCTCTTCAACAAATGGTGTTGGGAAAATTGGACAGCCACATGCAGAAGAATGAAACTGGACCATTTCCTTACACCACACACAAAAATAGATTCCAAATGGTTGAAAGACCTAAATGTGAGGCAGGTGTCCATCAAAATCCTAAAGGAGAGCACAGGCAGCAACCTCTTCGACCTCAGCCACAGCAGCTTCTTCCTAGAAACATCGCCAAAGGCAAGGGAAGCAAGGGCCAAAATGAACTATTGGGATTTCATCAAGATAAAAAGCTTTTGCACAGCAAAAGAAACAGTCCACAAAACCAAAAGACAACTGACAGAACGGGAGAAAATATTTGCAAATGACATATCAGATAAAGGGCTAGTATCCAAAATCTATAAAGAACTTCTCAAACTCAACACCCAAAGAACAACTAATCCAATCCAGAAATGGGCAGAAGACATGAACAGACATTTTTCCAAAGAAGACATCCAAATGGCCAACAGACACGTGAGAAAGTGCTCAACATCGCTTGGCATCAGGGAAATCCAAATCAAAACCTCAGTGAGATACCGCCTCACACCAGTCAGAATGGCTAAAATTAACAAGTCAGGAAACGACAGATGTTGGCGGGGATGTGGAGAAAGGGGAACCCTCCTACACTGTTGGTGGGAATGCAAGCTGGTGCAACCCCTCTGGAAAACAGTATGGAGGTTCCTCAAAAAGTTGAAAATAGAGCTACCCTACAACCCAGCAATTGCACTACTGGGTATTTACCCCAAAGATACAAATGTAGGGATCCAAAGGGGTATGTGCACCCCGATGTTTATAGCAGTAATGTCCACAATAGCCAAACTGTGGAAAGAGCCAAGATTTCCATTGACAGATGAATGGATAAAGAAGATATATACACAATGGAATGTATATATACACAATGGAATATTATGCAGCCATCAAAAGGAATGAGATCTTGCCATTTGCAACAACGTGGATGGAACTGGAGGGTGTTATGCTGAGTGAAATAAGTCAATCAGAGAAAGACATGTATCATATGACCTCACTGATATGAGGAATTCTTAATCTCAGGAAACAAACTGAGGGTTGCTGCAGTGGTGGGGGGGTGGGAGGGATGGGGTGGCTGGGTGATAGACATTGGGGAGGGTATGTGCAATGGTGAGCGCTGTGAATTGTGTAAGACTGTTGAATCACAGATCTGTACCTCTGAAACAAATAATGCAATATATGTTAAGAAAAAAAAAAAGATAGCAGGAGGGGAAGAATGAAGGGGAGTAAATTGGAGGTGGAGACGAACCATGAGAGACGATGGACTCTGAAAAACAAACTGAGGGTTCTAGAGGGGAGGGCGGTGGGGGATGGGTTAATGGGTTAGCCTGGTGATGGGTATTAAAGAGGGCACGTTCTGCGTGGAGCCCTGGGTGTTGTGCACAAACAATCATGGAACACTACATCAAAAACTAATGATGTAATATATGGTGATTAACATAACAATAAAAAAATTTTTAAAGAAAAAAAATGGCGTTCTCATGTATTGGTGGTAGAATAAGGTCACACCCTTCAGCAGGTTCTTAGGTTTAGCTAAGCATTCAGTGTCTCCTGACTGCTGTAAACCATGTCTGGTACTAGTTGCTCAGAAGGATCTGAGAAGCCGGGAAAATCAATCAGCTGGAAGGACAGCATCAAGTGCTTGCCCTTCAGTGGGAGACTTCATGACACTCCCCGTAGTTGCCCACACAGCCATCTGAAAGCTGTTTCCTTTGGTACCCCAGGTGACAGCTTAGGTGCTAAGAAGTGATGCTCCTTTTGGTGGGTACGGGAGCCTCCCTGCTATAGAGCCTCAACCCCCAGGAGCCAGGGTCTATTGTAACACCTTCCCATTGGGTTTCCCAGTTTCCTGCAAGGAGTATGGGAGTTAGAAGAGTCACCAAACTCGGGAACACCTAAGCATATGATGCCTGCTAGGTATTTATAATCCCTTCAAATCATTTATCAGTGAGGGGTTATTTTTCTCCTCAGCAGTGATGCTTACTAATATGGTTATCAGTGTACCTTTATCAGGTTCCTAGAGGAACAGAGCTAGAAATTTAAAAGTCAGATTCTTTCCCAGAAGGGAACGGGGTTTTGTTAACCCTTTACTCACAAAGAATGAGTGTGGTTTCTTTTTTAGAACACAGTTTAACACTATATACTGAAAGCTTTGACTGTGCGTATATCCTTTCAACCCAGCAGTATTGTTTTTAGGGATTTATTGTAACAAATACAATGTATGCACAAAGACGTATCTGTATATAGGTAGGTTCACCACAGCATTATTTGCAATGGGGAATAGTGACCATCTAAATGCAATTGGTTAGGAAAAATACAGTATGTTCATATTATGAATACTCTGTGAGTTTATGGAATAAGTTCTTCCAGAAAAAAAAGACATTAAAAGTCTTTATATCAAAATATTTAGTGTTTACCTTTGATGTTCTGCTGTGTAATTTTTATTTTAGCCATGAATCACCAATTTTTAACTTTGATCATGTGTTACTTTTCTAAATGATTGTGTTTTGCAGAAATGATCAATGAAGGTCACTTTAAATACATGCTCCTTAAATTGAATAATCAGACATTTTACGAGTTTAATACCATTTAAAAAGGCTTGATCTTGAATTCCTTTAATGAAATTTTATACATTTTATAATCTCCTCAGGTGTATCTCACCTCAGCTTCTAAAGTGATGATCTCGAAATGTATCAAGCCAATGAAATCATTCTCAGTTCATTTTCTCATATAAGTTATTGTATAATTTCTAACTTCTAATTAAAATCTCATAAATTAAAAACCTATCAAAATTGATAAAGTGAATACAGATTTTTTTTTTTTTTAGTTGGTCTATAGGATTACTCTTCAGGGCTGAGGAGGTTAGAGTCATTATGGAAAGAAACTGTGGTTTGGTGATTAAATAAGGAAAGCCATATAACCACATATTTGCATATTTGGTAAAATTTAGATGCCAGCCCTCTGCTCTTTTTGTCAAGTTATGGGTAGTTAGTGCATGCCATCATTATGTCCTAAGGGGTTTTAAATACACACACACACACACACACACACACAATTTATTCTCCATCTTCCACTTAGTAGTATGTCCACATCATGGTTTATCACCCCATCTGCTGATAGTCTTTCCACTCTATTTGTTTCAGAAAATGGGAAACAAATAGGTCCTCAAGGGGTGTGTGGTACTTAAAGGACTATTGAAAAGGAATATATAATTTGAGCTGTACTTTCAACAAAATAAGAGTCATAGAAGGAGTATTCAAGGAAACGTTCATTGGATTTATTCCTGCCTATTTTGTACTAATTGTGTTTCTTCTCCTTACAAATGGGTAGTAGAGAGTTAGTTGACCCTATGGAAATGCCATGTACTGAAGAAGATTGGTCTTTGGGACTTAGCCTATGATTGTAGTCCCCGTCCACCAGGGACTGTTACCTCAGGACTCAGTTTCTCCACCTAAGAAATGGATGGATTAGATGAGATAATCTCTTAGGTCTTTCTCAACTAAAAAAGTCCTTAGGACTTAAGTAATTTTTAACACTAAGATTTATGATGATAAAACTTCTGAACTGATAATTTTATGTTCTGTCTTTCAGTTTATACCTGTTCAAACTAGGAATAGCACCCCAGATCCAGGATTTGTTGGGCAAAGTAGACTTCACAGGTATTACTCTTTATTTTTACATTGTCATTTTACTAAGAAATGTATCAATACTTGTCCTTTTCATAGCATTGATTCCTGTTTTTCCTCTATATTGATCAGAGGAGAAAACTTTATTATTTTGTTTGTATTCAACCACTTTTCCTTTCACCACATTTGTGAAATGAGAAATAGGCTGACTTCTTCCTAAGGTTCTTGTTTAGAAATGCCCCACCTTCTTGATGAAGACACTTCTTTCCCCCTTTTTTTTTTTAGTAATGGTATTTTTAATATTCTTTTTTGTTTGTTGTTTTTTAGAGAGAGTACACACTCGTTGGGGAGGAGCAGAGGGAGAAGGAGAAAGAGAATCTTAAGCAGGCTCCACGCACAGCGTGGAGCCCAGTGCAGGGCTTGATCTCACGATCTGAGCCAAAATCAAGGCTCGGTCACTTAACTGACTAAGCCACCCAGATACCCCCTTTAATATTCTTTATTCAGAAAAATAAGCCTTGGATTTCTGGGAGAGAGACCATGGGATGATGACATTTCTTGATGTAAATATATTCATTCCTGTTTCCATCTCTGTGTCTTGCTTTGATATTGTTTGTTGTTCTTTTTCAGAGGAAGAAATTAGTAATATGAGAAAGGAACTTGAGAAATATGGAATACAAATGCCATCTTTCAGCAAAATAGGTGGGATTCTGGCTAATGAACTGTCAGTGGATGAAGCTGCTTGTGAGTCTATTTAAAATCAGAACTTACTATTGACATGAGACTTACCTATACTTTATTTATTGATTTGGGTTACAAGAAAGAATATTTAGAAGATACTTTCAGCCCCCTTTTGAAGTTTTTGTTGTATGTATTGTAGATGGTTAAGTTGCGCATATGTGATATAACCATGTAATTGATTTAGACTTTAAACATCTACATGCGCAATGTGAATAAGAGTTTTCAGAAATACCTTTACTCAAAATATTTCTTTGCTTTTTCTGTGTCATCAGATTTTAGTGGTAGAGTACATTGCTTTATTGTCCTTAAGTGTTGCAAGTTAAATTGCCAGTATCATTTGGAAACAAACTGGTACTTTAACAATGTCTACATACCCCTTCAGCCCTCGGTGGCTGACATAGCGCTTGGTTTATTTTAGCCATTCATAAATTCATAGCGATTACATGGCGGATGCTGAGACAGGACTCAAGCGAGATGGGCAAATGGAGAGGTTGTCAGGGGGTTGCTCTGTGAAGTGTCTAGGGTGTCTTTTTGGCCTTTTTAACTCGAAGCCAGAGAAGAAAGTAAAACTGCTTACACTCATGCAGTGTCCGTGAAACTGTCCATGTTGTCTTTGGCTCATGAAAATCATTTTTTTCCCTCTTTCCAGTGCATGCTGCAGTTATAGCCATTAATGAAGCTATTGAAAAAGGAATAGCGGAACAAACCATTAAAACGTTAAGAAACCCAAATGCAGTTTTAACTTTAGTAGATGACAGCCTCGCACAGGAATACCAGAAGGAACTCTGGGAAGCCAAGAAAAGGAAAGAGGAAAGTGCAAGACTGAAGGTATTTAATTAGATTCTCGGTAATACGGCTCTGAGTGGCTCGTTTGAAAAAGCCTTGATGTTACAAGTGATCATTTTAACTCACCTGGCAGTGGTCTGTATAGCTGTAGGCAGTTGGTTTGCATGCAATGTAAAAGTAAAAGCAGACCGTGCACTATGTAAAGAAAAGAGGTTTCCTTTTATGCTGATTCTTACAGGTTACAAGGATTGAAGGTCATGTCATAAACTTATTATTTACCCGGGAAGTGTGGAAGTAATGGCTCAAGATCTCCCCTTGTTTGGCATCACCTGCAGACCTTGTATTAGCTGGGTTACCTGCAGATTTCTTAATAGAGGTTCATGATTCAGTGTGGTGAAGCTGAGAGCTGATGTTTTTGAATTCACTCTCGCATTTTGCCTTCCCATCTCTGCAAGGCAGCCTGACCCTGACTTGATACTTCTGCCTTCCCTCTAGCGTTACTGAGGACTTTGATGACGTACAGAGCTTCCACTTCGTGGCCATCTTTCTCCTCCTTAAGCTTCTGCCATGTCGGCCTCAGCTCCATTAGCAAAACTTTCCACTTGATCTTACTGCCTTCTCTCACCTGGTGGCTTCTGCCTGCATGTGGCACGCTTGCCCGCCCTGCCTGCCTGCCTCAACTTCGGCTGCTCAGCTGCCGAGGTTCTCCTCTGCATCTCTCAGTGTCTCCTCTCCCTCCTGCCTCTGCCTACGGGGATTCTGTAAGGTCTGACCTCCAGTCACGTCGGTCTCTGTTCCTCCTCAGACAAGTTCATCCGCTTGCTGAGGCAATCACCTGTCAGCTTGATACCGGGCCCCTCGAATGCTCCTCCAGATGACTTCATCTCTCTGTCCCATGCACCTTACCCCTCACCACCTAGGAAGAGTGTTTATTTCTACCCTGCCCTTCTCACACACATGCCCCTCGCTGACCTGCCTCTGGAATGACTTCCACGATGTTTTAGAACTCTGTCCACGCCCCGCCCCCCACTCCTGTATTCTATCCATCACTGCATTCTGTTGCCTCTTCTTGCCAGGATTACATCTGTCCCACACCTTCTAGTCTCACCACTCTGGCCCCAGCCCTGCCTCCCAACCATGCCTCAGTGTTCTTGCACATCTTCCTTACAGCTGGCCCTGCTTCCTCCCATCCTGCAAGCCAATCCCTCTTAGCTACAGATCGGATATCAGCCCCCAGAAAGCTCCCTGGGTTCCCTACTGCCTACCGAGTTAAGTATAGGCCCTTCGCTTGGCTTTAAAGAAGCCTCCGGAATGCCCACTCAGCCTCCCCATCATTCTGGCTAACCCTGAACACGCGCTCTAGGCCGTAGCCCAAAGTGCCAAGCTGTCTCACCTTTGTGACCAAATCCTGTGGTCTACATCCTGCTCCCTGCTCTGCCCTTAACATCGCTCTGTTCCTCCAAGCCCTCCTCAATTGTTTTCTCTTTTTCAAGTGTTGTTTTCCAACTAAATATGTACTTCTCCTCTTAAACGTATTCTCTTCTATGTATAGCTGTTATTTATGGTGTCAGTTTTATTAGACTGAATCAAATGAAATTGCCAACATTCCACTGACTTCAATCTACCAAAAAATGGTGGTATGGTCAAGTGGTCCAACATGGTGTTTGCTACGTTAGACAGGCCCTTTCAGAGAGTCACTGGGGCTGCTGTTCGTCTTTGCCAGGCCTATCTAACCCTAGTTCCCTGCACAGAGCGAGCACTCTTCTCTGCTTATATTGAATTCAGATGAATATAAGTAAACGGTTTTTCTCACTCTTTGCATTTTGCTTTTGAATACCGAGCTTCGGACATATTTTATTTAACCTCAGGAATCAGTGAAGACTTTGTTTTGTAGAATAACTGTATTTCAGAAGAAGAAAGAGATGCCTATGAAGAACTTCTGACCCAGGCAGAAATCCAAGGCAACATCAATAAAGTCAACAGTAAGTAATGGATTGCATGAAGGAAATGGCTACTGCTAGAAGACACAAATTCTCCTCGTCAGAATCTCCCCAAGACTCTCAACTGGTATCCTTGTAACACTGCCTTATGTGATGAAAATTCCACTCAGTGTCACTGTTGTTCTTAATTGTGGTGTATGGTCTGGCAGTTTCCCATGGAAATTTTAGGTGATCTTGCTCCACTGCCCATGCAAAGTATCTCAAAGTATCTTGAAGCTAGTTTAGCTCTCCCTTCCTGTTTTATCATAGGTACAGTGTATGTCATATTTTGAACCTGTCCCTTATTGGGCTAACAGAGAAGGCTATCTAGTAAAAGATTATGACTTAAGGATTATCATTTCCTGCCCATGATTATGTGTCAATGTTTGGAATTGAAAAGGTATTGTTGACACCTCTGCTCTTTATTACTTCCCAATTATTAGTCTGCGGTTTGTAAGAATTGTTTTCTTACAGCTTGTATAGTTTTTTTTTGGCAAGTCAGTGCGACTGGATAGGCAATGACATTGCATGGTGACAGGTTTGAATCCCATGTCCCTGAACCTCTGTGGAGTCTCACAGTTCAGTTCCTTTTTGTACCCGTTTCAGTTGTGTGACTATAAAGAACAGAAAACTCAGGTAATTAAAGTGAGCATATGCAAGTTCGGAGAGATTAATCTCCTTATTAGTCTCTTCTCCCCTCTCTAATAAAATTTGGTTTCACTTGAGGCAGTAAGGAATTCTACTTGACATTTATTTCCCCTAGGGCAACTTAAAGAGCCCCTATATGCACAAAAAACGAATACGTGAAAGATCATTTAGCCCATTTAACAAAGCATGTGAACCATCCGCCACAGTTAAACTTGGGAGTATCCACTAATTACAACACTCCTAAACTTTCTCTTTGATTCAGCCTCATAGATGAGCTTTGAATGTTCTTAACACCTTCAAAGAAACTATAGGTTTTACCGTAAAGTTTGCTCCCAAGTCGCTGGTAGAGACCTATCCAAAGGGTTCAAACAGTAATTAAAGGAGGCCCAGAGAAAATTGATGTAAACATCTAGGAGTTAACAACTGAGTAGGTTTGAGAATTTCCCTCACACACAAAACTGCTGAGAGCTCCCCAGTAACTCTTTTTAAGGGAACACCTTAACATTGTAGAATGCATGTTCCTCTTCTTTTATTCTTACTTAATTGCAAACCTATTGGTGATGATACATGAAACACAATTTTAAGTTTCTCTTTCTGCTCTGTTTGAAAGATGAGAATTTCATTATGCTTGACAGAAATGAATCACAGGAAGAAATTAATATTCCCAGCAAGACAGCTGAGGTCCATAAACTCGGTGAAGAAATGATTCCATAGCCTTCTGCCATCCTTTATTTTTGAAAAGTTTATAACCACTAAAACAGGTTTCTTCTTCATTTTAAATAAAAGGCCTTGTATGAATGTTTTAATACTTACTGACATAATTTCCTGACCACAAATTTAATGCCACATTGCTTATACATTTTTAAATAAAAGGTATGAGATGACTTGCACTAATGCATAACCAGCTTAAATTATGAAGGACATTGCCGTGTTTGATGGCTTTAAGTGTGTAGAACATGATGATTCTGAAGTTTTTTTTATCTCTCCCCATCTGAAAATTTATAGTCAAGTCGAACTAAGAAGAGTCTTGAAAGACCCCTAAAGTATATTTTAATCAGTGACGTGACAATAAGACAACTGTATGCTTTAAAATATATGAGTATAGCTACTTGACAAGCTTTATCTCAACCCTGTAGGTTGTTATACTAAAATGTTAAGGTGTCTACGTTCATAATAGCCAGAGAAGTGACATAAGGGACAGTTTTGACAGCAATGTCACCGGCTCTGTCGGCGGAGGCTTCAACTTTGTCTGACCTGTAGTCATTTAACTTTGGGTTTGGCCCATGCATTCCATTCATTACAAGACATATTTTGTTAAGACCAGGGCTGGAAGTTTGGTTAAATGCACAGTATAAAAGAGTGGGACAGCTCACTTTATTTATTTTTTTTAGAAGAAATGGTTCATAAAGAATGTCTGAAAGGTAGGATTTCTGGTACTCTTTTACCATCCAGTGGTGCAGACTCACAAAATGGAGTTTTCAGAGGGGAAGTAGGATCTTATCCAGAATAATGACAGACACAGCTGAGAGGCCGTGGGTGACACTCACAGAACAGCAGAGGCCACGCATGTCCACCGACCTTCCTTTCTGGGATTTTTTTGTTGGCTGCATCAGTTCTTATAACAGAAAAATAGGTTTGGGTTCTTAGAGTCCTTTAGAAGAAGTTTAAGTTTTTGGTGGGTGTAACTAAGAAGATTGCATTGGCTGGAAGTATTTCCTGCTATTGAATGATGTGTCTCAGGAGAAAGGTTATGGGGGGTAGCTCCTTGTGAATGAGTTACAGAAGGTGAATTGTCATCTGTTAAAAGGGTTAGAGTAATCTTAGGTACAATCTAGTCATGTATTAGGGAGACAGACTAACCCTTGGAAAGCTCTAGAAATCTATGGGTCTGTGTTATTTCTGCTATCCTGAAACCTTTTTTTTTTAAAGATTTTATCTGTTTAGAGAGCACGAGTGGGGTGGGGGCAGAAGGAAAGGGAGAGAGAGAGAATCCCAAGTAGGCTCCCTACCCAGAGCACAGAACCCAACATGGGACTCGATCCCATGACCCTGAGATCATGAACTGAGGCAAAATCAAGAGCGGGATGCTTAACTGACTGAGGCCCCCAGGCACCCCTGAAGCCAACTTTATGGGGCAGAATGGTGCTGTTTCTGTCCAGTTTGCCATTGCCTGGTGGCAGAGTCACCCGCTCATTCTCCCAGTTCATCAGCAATTCTCTTCTGTTTTCTGAAAACTGTGAGGAATCTACTGTTTCAGGCAACCTCAGTTTGGTGATTAAAATTCAGATCTTGGGCAACCCTCTGGGGTCCCCTCCCTCTTTGGGAACTTTGTACTCTATCACTCAATAAACTTTACTATCGGGCAATAAACCTTGCTTTGCTGCCGGAAGGAAGGAAGGAAGGAAGGAAGGAAGGAAGGAAGGAAGGAAGGA